TGTACAAATTATTTATTAGAAGCTCCAATAAAAAGGATAATTTATTACTTATTTGCCTTTCTTCCCCTCCAGCCAATGCCGCGTGTTAAAACATGTGATATGAACCTCTTTCTCTCTGGTTGAATCAAGGCCATCCTTATGTTTCACAAAAGCATTTTCACTCTCTGATTACTGAACACAGGCATTTTTCGCCAAGGTTGACTTTCTTTTCACCACTAGCTGAATAGAATTTCTCTAATTTAAAGTGGATAAGAAAAACATGCGTTCCAGAAACATCTTCAGTCTCTTGACTCACGCTGCAGGCTGGAGCTGGATATGTTTTTCTTTTTCAAGGTGATTAATTCAACCCCAACTCCCTCACAGATCTCATACAATTAACACCAGTGTATCTTTCATAGCAGGACTAAAAGAGTAAAATAATATATAATAAATAAATAAATAATAAAAATGTAAAAATAAAGGGAAATGATCCCCAATAAAACAAACCTAAAACATGATGGAGTCTCAGTAAACCGACAGTGTGCAGGGATTTTCTTTTTAGGAAACTGGTTTCCACATGAGATCCATTCCAGCTATGTAACTTTAAATAAGAAAAAAAAGGCTAAAGAGGTGGAGCTCACAAAATATTTTGTCATTTTGCTCACTTCTACATTTCCACAGCACTAATTTCATCAGTACAACATGTTATACTCACCGCTCTACTGAAAACACATTCAACAATGCTTTTTTTATTTTATTGGTGGAAAATCCTCTCCTTTCTGGTATCTTTACCCTCCACTCCACCGTGATCCTCCTGTAAATTATAATACATCAGACAGAGGATATTCCCTTATATCCCCATATGTCTCACCCTCCCTCCTTCCAACCAAGCATCCTGCCTACAGACAGGGATTCAATTTGAATAATTTTTCTATCTACCTGCTCAGCACAGAGAGAAATGGAACAAAAATAAGACAGAGAGAAGAGGGGATTGAGCAGATTTTGTGGCTGATGTGTTGCGCTGTCAGGGATTCATCTATCTGTGCCTGATGGATGTG